TTTTTTTTTTTTTGGTATAGTTTTTTTTTTTTTTTTAAACTTGGGATTGAACTGAGGATGTTGTGTTTGTGAGGCAGGTGGCAGAACCACTGAGCCAAATCCTTGGCCCTAGTTTTTTTTTATCATGGATAATTGAAATTTTATATGTTTCACTTATCTATATGTCAAATTATTTTTCCCTGCTTGGGAAGTTTTCTGCCATTATTTCTGTGAACAGGTTTCTTATGTCATTTGAAATAACTCCTGGTTTCTCATTGACTCCGATCAATCTTATGTTATCCTTCTTTGCATCATCAAGCAGCTATTGGATTGATTTTTCCTGATCCCTTGCTATTTTTAAGAATTTTTTCTTTTCACAATCACTAAGCACAATCCTGTCTTCTGTATTTGATGTTCTGTCCTCACATTCATTCATTCTGCTTCATATACTTTCTCCTATACAAGTGCTAAGCAGGCCCTACCCTGTTTAGCTTCTGATATCAGATGAGATCAGGAACATTCGGGGTGGTATGGCCATAGATTACTTTAAGAAAATTTTAAATCTCCTGCACATCTGTTTGAATCTCTTTCATGGATTCCATTTCTTTGCTATGTTGGGCGTTCATGGCTTCTATCATTTTCCTAAGTACCTCTATTTTTAAAAATCTATCTGCTTAGAGTCACTAAGCATGTCTTTCATTATTGTCACCATCTTTGTAGTTATCTGGGAAAGTATTTCTGATTTGATTTTTTTCTAGAGCCTCATTCATCTGCATTGTTACTTTTGCTGTTACCACTTCATAGAGTCTGGGTGGGTGGGTTTCAAATTTTTCAAACTCACTGAACCCTGGATTTGCCTTTGGTGAGCTGCAATCTTGGGGTTGCTTAACCCCGAATCCTTGCTTAAGTGTTTCTTTCTTTTACTTTTCTTTTTTTTTTTTTTTTTTTTTTTTGTTTAATTCCTAGGTTTATGCTTGTAAATTGTGTTTGGCAAGTAGCTTTATTGCTACTATTTAGAGCCCTCAGGAATATATACTAGAACTCTAGGGAATATATACTTCTCAGAGATGTCTTCTGGTGTAGCTGGCTTCTGGGTTTTGGGTCTGTTGAAAGGTTTTACCTCTTCAGTTTGCTCAGGATGAGAAGTTGTTGCCTATTTGGCCTAGCCTCTGGTTCTTTCACACTGGCCTTTAATACTATTTGTGACTTTTAGGCAATCTCAGTCTTGGCATACCAGGAAGAACAACTGGTTAGAACAAGTATGATGCCTTCGCTAAAGTTGTACAGCCAGCCAGAGCAATCATCAAACATAGCCTAGAAAATGACAAACTGTGGTTACTACTAATTTGCCACCTTTAACCATATGAACCAGATTTGTGCTTATATAACAAAGGCTAAAACAAACCAGAAAATTGTATATAGTAAATTTGCTCTTAGTAAGGCAATTTTAACCTCAGCAGAGAAAATTTAAAAGGAGTTGGGGAAAAAATATAGAAATAGAAGAAGAGGAAGAGATTAGAAGTAAGGCTGGAGAACAAAGGAAAATTATGTAAACTTTCGGACACTGGTGAAGACAGGAGAGAAAGAGAGAAGAAAGAAATAAGCAACAACAACAAAATGAGAAACAGTATTCACATTTATATGAAAACCAGAACAAAAAATCAAGAAAAAAGAAAACAAAGCCAAAAACACTGAAAAGAAAGAAAAAATTTTAAAAATGTCTTTGCACCACTTATGGCATGTCTCTGCTGTCACTGGTAGACAAGTTGGGCACACAGAGCCCAGAGCCATGTTAATTCCAGCAACAATAGTTTTATGATGGAGTGGTGGATAATCCCAGCAAGCCTGCACCTTTAGTTCTGAGGCTCAGGCTGGTTTCTGGCTTTGAGGCTGGGATTTGTTCAGCCTGCAGCACTCCTTGTGCCTCCTGCCGCTCAAACTTGCTTCCTTGTCCTCCTTCTGACTTGATCTTGATCCCACTTTGCCTGATGGAACCAGCCCAGAGCTACTCTGAGTTCTGGGCTCAGTTGGCCCCTCTCAAGATGGTGACCAGCCAATTACCCTCTCCTGGAGGACATCTGAACTTGAATATAAGCCATACCAGTCTGATGTGTCCACTGTCCTATTCCACTGGTGTGTCTCTCTGTGGAGGCCTCTGGGGTCATGAGTAGTCACCATGTGTCTGCAGGATTGAGCTTCCCTTCCCATTTAGTGAGTCAGGGCTCAGGGAGAAAGCACTGCATTAAAGTCTGTCTCAGCCAGGTGTGGTGGCACACACCTGTAATCCCAGCACTTGGGAGGCTGAGACAGGAGGATTGCTGTGAGTTTGAGACCAGCCTGGGCTACATAGTGAGTTCCAGGTCACTCTCAACCACATAGTGAAATCCTATCTCAAAAACAACAACAACAACAAAAAAGTCCCTCTCCTTGCTCCCTGTGGGCCTCTATTGTCCCTTCAGATCACTGTTAGGTCTTGGGGGCCCATTCTCCCCTTCTTCTCTTCCTCTCATTGCTATATTCCAGTGTCAGGACATCATATCTTGGAGAGGCTGTTTCTCTGCTGTTCATCACTCTGCTGTCTTCCTGGAAGTCCCAGCATGAGTTTAAAAAAACTATTAACACAAGCTGGGCATAGTGGTGCACACCTGTGATCCCAGCACTGAGGGAGGCTGAGGCAGCAGAATCAAAAGTTCAAGTACCACCGGGACAGCTTAGTGAGATCCTACTTCAAAATAAAAAATAAAAGGGGCTAAGGTACTGGGTTCAATCCCCCGTACCACAAAAAGTAAAGTAAAATAAAAAATATAATAAACTATCAACACACTTGAAAGAATGTGTAAAGAAGAGTTACAGGAAGATTTAAGAACTTTTGTGCATTATTGTTATGTTTTGTTATTTGTGCATTTTTGTTTTGTTTTTGTTTTTGAGAAAGGTGCCATTATATAGTTCAGGCTGGCCTTGAACTCACTATGTATCCCAGGCTGGTATGGTGATCCTCCTGCCTCAGCCTCTGGAGTGGTAGGATTACAGGCATGCCCACCATGCCTGGCTTTTTGGCCATATACTTTTTGTATATCCCATAGCTCTTCCTAATCCCGAGGAACTCTAAATTTGTGAGGGAGGAGAATACAGACAAGCATAGCTTAGGCTGGCTAACAGTTATTGTTTTTCATTTTGAGTTGGGGTCTCCCTAGGTCCCTGAATTACCTAGGCTGGGCTTGAACTGGTGACCCTCTGCCTCAACCTCCGCCACCACACCTCACTAGCATACAACTTTTAAGAGAATAATTTGTCAGGATGAAACTCATATAACATAAACAGAGCCATTTTAAAATAAATGACACAATAAAATAAAATGAATGGTACAGCAGTGACTAGAACATCTCAGTGTGCAACCACGGCCTCTGTCTGGTTCCAGAACATTCTGGTCCTTCCAAAATAAAACCCCTTGCACAAAGCGTCTTTTAAATTGTAGGAATACAAAGCCTCCTAACCGCAGTTTAAGTGAGGAGGAGTTGGCTTTTTATGAGAAATCCAAAAGAATTTTAGAAATGCATTTTAGAAATATTTGAAAGAGCCTAAAAAGGCATTCAGAGAAAGAGCCCATAAACATGGGAGTGAGTGCTCGCGGTCCCTCGGATGCAGACGAAAGCAAGATGAATTTCTACTGCCCAGATCAGCAAAGATAACTTGACTGATGGCCGTGCTGTCAGCGAGGACATAGGAGGCGGTGCTAGTTCGTCTTCCTCTATTGCATTTCCCCAGCCTCTGGCTTCCGGAAGGGATCCCAAGGAAGCAGGCACACCAGGGCATAAGGAAAAAGGGTCCCTTCTCAGAAAATACATTTCAAAATGGAAGCCTCTGAACATCCACTGATGGGAATTCTGTTAAACAATGGCCGGCCAGGACCTGGAGCGCAGTGCTGCTTTTAGAAATGAACAAAGCAGGCAGGTGTGGTGGTGCAATTTGGGGGGCTGGTTTTGTGACTTGGGAGGCTGAGGCAGGAGAATCACAAGTTCAAGGCCAGTTTGGGAAATTTAGTGACTTAGGGAGATCCTGTCTCAAAATTAAAAGTTAAAACAAATTTTTAAAAGGGCTAAGGATGTAGCTCAGTACAAAGCTCCTGGGTTCAACCCCCCAGTACTACAAAAATAAATGAAAAAATACATAAAATTGGGTACCCACTAGCCCTCCCTCCCCTGGCACCTGGAAGCCAGCGTGCTTCCTGCTTATGAGCTTGTCTGTTCTGCGTGTATGAACAGAAACTCTCTCACACACACATTGGCTCACCGGTGTGTGACCCCTTGTGTGGCCTCCTTCACTTCCTGTTTTCAAGGCCCACCCATGCCAGGTGGGAGCCAGGCCTTTGATGGTGGCCTGTCCTGTTGTGTGGATGTGTACATGCTGCTTCTTTTTCTTTTTTTGCGGGGGAGTACCAGGAATTGAATTTAGAGCCTCACACTTGCCAGGCAGGTGCTGCTTTTGTTTTTGAGATGATCTCACTATGCAGTTCATGCTGGCCTTCAACTCAAGGTGTAGCCAAGGCTGGGGTCAACTCCTGGTGATCCTCCTGCCTCTGCCTCTTGAGTGCTGGAGTCATGGGCGTGTTCCACCACACCCAGCTTGTTTTTCTCTTATTCAGCCGGAGGACTTGTGGGTTGTTTCCCCTTTGTGGTGATTGGGAAAACTTCAAATGGGACTCTGTGTGACCTGTGCTTCACTGGATGCAGACCTGGGAGGGGAATTGCTGGGGCCCCATCCTTGAGGGCCTTGCAGACTTCTGAGATTTCAGGCCATGTTCTGTGTCCCCTGCCTCCCTCCCTTCCCACTGTCCTCCTACCCTGTATGACTTCCAGGTGTTCTCTGCGTCCCTGATCCACATTACAGGAAGTGTGGCTGTCACCTAGCAGCTGTCTGTCCTTCCTCAGGGTCACCAGCATGGCTCTCCTCCCTGCCAGGGCAGCAGCCTCGCCTCCCTCATGTCTGTGTCCTCCGCGGCCAGCTGCAACAAGGGACAGAGGTGGCACCTCCTTCCCCAGAGCATGTCCATGGCCCGGCTGTCCAGCCAGGGACAACACTTTCAGGTTAAGGTGTCGGTCTGCACAGGGCCGGATCCGTGTGTGCCGGCCTGAATCATTTTTTTTTCTTCTATCATGGGCCCTCATAAAAAAAAAAAAAAAAAAAAGAAATAGAATAAGTACAAGCCAGGGACTCAGCTCAGTGGCACTGTGCCTACCTTATAAGTGCAAGGTCCGGAATTTGATCCCTCATACTGGCAAAACAAAACAAACAAACAAAAAAACCAGGCTGGGTGTGGTGGCACACACCTGTGATCCCAGCCCTCAGGAGGCTGAGGCCGGAGTTGGAGTTCAAGGCCAGCCTTGGCTGCATAGCAAGACCCTGTCTCTAAGTAAATAAATAAATAGTGTTTCTTGTGCACAGGCTTAGGGAAGTGACAGATTTAGAGTTAAAACTGTATGAGGGTGCTGTGCTCTGAGTCTTAAAGCCCATGTTCGGATTGTCAGAATCTGAAGCTCGGTTCATCTTCTTCTGTTCAGGAAGACGCTTCTCGGGCCGGTGTACGGGTCTCCTGTGGAGCAAGCGCAAATCCTACCCGTGAGAACGACCTTGGAGCTGGAGAAGCACTACCTGGTGTTCATTAACAGAGACAAGGTGGCCACCCTCTGTGCCCTGCGTGGGGGGGGGCAGCAAGCCGTCTTCCAGACCACAAGGCTGTAGTTGCTCCCGCCTGGGACAGTGGGTTCCTGAACATGGCCATGGATTAGTGGGACTGATGACTGGGAGATATTTTTGAGCAATTTCCATATTTTCTATACCTCCACTGAACACACATGACCCACTAAATGATTTTTTCTTTCTTGTTCAGAAAAATTTTGTGAAACTTGGAGCCTGAGGCAGGAGGAAGGATCACTGTGAGTTTGAGGCCAGGCTGGGCTACAAATGAGACTTGTATCTTAAAAAGCCAAAACTAAAACCCAAGCCTTATAAAGTCGTACACATTAGTTACACTTATTTGTACTTTGTTTTTGTGGTACAGGGGATTGAACCCAGGGCCTTTGCATTGAGCTACATCACTTCCCCTTTTATTTTTTATATTCAGACAAGGTCTTGTTAGGTCACTAAGTTGCCCAGTCTGGGCTCGAACTTGAGATTCTCTTGCCTTGGCCTCCCTAGCTGCTGGGATTATATCTGTGCAGCCCTGCACTTGGCTTTAGTTGCACATTTAGTGAGTCACCTGGGTAGAAAAGCATAAAGCCACTGCTCCTGAGCGTTATGCCGAAAGCCGTGGACCACTGACTTGGAGACAGGCTGAAAGTGTCCAGCTGCCCTCAGGGAGGCCCTCCCAGGGCCCAGTGTGGATGCCCAGCTGGACACAGTTCTCGTCCCGGGTGGCCCTGGGCACTCAGGTCCCTGCAGCACGAGAGTCAGAGGTGCCCCGTGGCGGTGCAGGGCCTGATTGGGGCCCTGTGGCCTGAGCCTGACACCTGACTCCATCTTTGTGTCCAGGTGGGGCTGCAGACCCTACCGGTGGACGGCAACCCACACAAGACCTGTGCCATGGTTTGTCACCCGGATGGGGTGGCAGGGTTGGCCCTGTCGTACGATGGCCACTACGCCTTCACGGCAGGAGGACACGACCACTCGGTGGTGCAGTGGAACATCAACCTGAGGTACGTGCTGGTTCAGACTCCTCTTCACCCAGCAACAGCAGACAGGGATCCCAGCTCCTTGGGGAGGCCGAGGCAGGAAGATTGTAAGTCGAGGTCAGCCTAGGCAGCTTAGTGAGACTTTGTCTTAAAATTTTTTTTTTTCTGAAGGCCTGGGGTTGTAGCTCAGAGCCCCCTGGGTTCACTCCCCTGTTCTAGGGCCAAAGCAGGGAAGGGAACCAAGACCCTACCTGGGATGTCACAGGGCCTGGCCTCAGTGCTCCCTGGGGACCTCTGTCCCCATGACCGTGCAGACTCAGAGTCACTGTACGTACGATGCCCTGCACCATGGCACTGATGTTTGAATAAGGGGCCTGCTCTTTGCTGGCTGTGGGACATAGGACAGCTTTCTTTACATCTCTGATCCTAAACTGGGTTGGTGGCACACACCTATAATCCCAGTACTCGGGAGGCTGAGGCAGGAGGACTGCTAGGAATTCAAGTCCAGTTTGTGCTACATAGCAAGACCCTGTCTCAAAAACCAAAATCTATCTCTGATCCTTGTATTCCTTGCCTATAAAGTGACTTTGATAGGGTCTTCCTAAGGGTCCGGAAGGTCAGCATTTCTGGAGTGCCCAGCACAGAGCTAGGCACTCCGTGGATTAGAGGCTGCCTCTGGCTGTGGGCTCGGGCTCTCTCACTAAAGCAGGCAGGCACTGAGGCCACCTCCCCCTTCCCACACTCAGGCAGCTCGTTGCTGTCCACCCGCCTGTGGCAGGGAGGCTCTCCCAGGTGAGCGCAGGGCAGGCCCCTTCCCCCTTGGGCACACCTGGCCCCTGGCAAGCTTCCTCATAGGACAGACGTGGGGACCGGAACTGACAGGGCCGGGGGATCTTCAGCCCGACCTCGTCTGGGCGACCTAGAGCACAGAGTCCTGGCTGAGCCTGAGCCCCGGAGTCCTTGTCACTCCACGGTCCCCACAGCCTGGGGTGAGAGACACAGGTGGAGACAGCGTCGTGCCTCCGTGGTCCGTCTCCTGCTCCATCGTCCTAGGATCTGGAATCTAGGGATTAAAAAGGAAGGGCACGCTCGCCTTCCAGTCCTTCCCTGGGCCTGGCCAGCGTCCAGACTTCTGAGAATTTCCATTTAATCTGTTGTGGGGACAAAGGATCATTATAAACTAATTAGCACTTTATTGCTTCTTCTGGTGACTTAATATGTTCTGTGCTTCACTAATGGAAAGAAATGTAAAATCCCTAACAAATAAACAAAATTCCCGGCTGGATTCCGGGGTAGCAGCACTGTAGGGAAATCAGAGACAGTAAATCCCCTCCGATTCTGAGGGCGTCGGTCAGCTCAGGCCCAGACCTGAGCTTCTCCCCCAGCCCTACCTGGGGCCCCCAGGGCTCTTTCAGCGTCCCCTTCCTTTTCCCCATCTTTGCCAGCAACCCCCCCACCCCTGTGGCATCTGCTCTTTTTTTCTTGCTTTTTCTTTGTGTGGCAAGAACTAGGGATTGAACCGAGGGGCGCTGTACCATGAAGCTGCATCCAAAGCCTTTTTTGTTTTTAGACAAGATCTCCCTAAATTGCCCAGGCTAGCCTTGAACTTGTGATCCTCCTGCCTCAGCCTCCCAAGTAGCTAGGATTATGGGCAATGTTTTTTAAATCTCCCATTCCTCTTCTATGCTCACCTCCTCTCCTGTGCCCTGCTCGGATTAAAGCTGAGCCCTGCACTCAAAGCGGGGCTTTGGTACCTACTGGTCGGGCAGCAGCAGACAAGTCCCTTAGGCTCCTGGGTCAGTTTCTCCATCATCCAGTGGGAATGTCATCACAGGATGACTGGGGGGGGTGGCGATTCACGGGTATTTCCTGAGCAGCTTCCGGTGCCAGGCTTGGGCTCCTGGCTTCCGGAGGGTCGCCCCTCACCCAGAGGTACCGATCTGTTGCCAGGTGCGGTTGGAGTCCAGCCAACCCTCACTTCCCTTTTCTGCAGTGACCTCATTTTGAACCGGAAGTGTTAGGAACCCAGTGTAGGCATCAGGTGGTGATGGTGCTTAGGTGGAGGGACGCAGTGTGGCTGCCCTGTGGCGGGAACAGGACGCAGCCCCCTCAGGTACTGTCTCCTATCTCCAAACACCCAAAAAGAAAACAAAAACAAAAGAAACTCGCCCGAGGGTTCCGGGCTCTGATCGGCCCCACACCGCCCGGGGCAGCACAGGAGCTCCGGCCGCTCACCGATTCTCACCGCGGCCCCCACAGCCTTCCTTTGAGGCAGCTGAGGCCCGAGCTGAGTTCCTCAAGGAGGCGACACCAGGCCACCTCCCGCCGCCTCCCGAGGGGTTCCGAGAAACTGTTCTGCCATCGGCTTTCCGGCCAGTGAAGGAGCCTTTGTAAAAGCAGATTTTCTTCCCATCCCAAGGCCTATGTTTGGAGGTGTGACCCGAGCAGGAGAGCAGGGGGTTATTTTTGTCAGCCTGGCGGGGTCCCTGTGGTCTCCCCAGTTTTGATGGTCTCCACAGCGCCCCAGCCTCGGCTCCGGAGTGGCAGACGCGGTCCCCAGGTGCAGCCGGTCTCCAGCCCGCGCCTGCCGCCGCCCCGAGCTGCCCCATGCCCGGTCTCTCTCGTTCCAGCGCCCTGGACGCTGCCGTTTCTCTTGGCGGCGAAGACTTGATCCCGTTCTACGGCCTGGTGCCCGGCGGCAGGGAAGGAAAATTCTACCGGGTAATGGTCCGGCAGACGCGCCCGGCCACCCCTTTCCCGCTTTCTGGAAGCTTCGCTGACCGGGACGCTCCCTTCTCTTCCCCGCGCAGGAGCTGGAAGATTATTTCTTCTACTCCCAGATCCGCAGCCAGGGAATCAACACCATGGGGACCAGGAAAGTGTCGGAGCACATCTGCCTGTCCGAGGTGCCCTTCGTCATGAGGGCCATCGGCTTCTACCCCTCCGAGGAGAAGGTAGGAGGAAAGGAGGGCGGCGGGAGCCATGGTGAGAGGTCAGCCGAGAGGTGTAATATTCTTCTCACATAAATGGAGGTGGGGAAAGCTCTGGACCCTTCAATGCACTCTTGAGAAATGTGCCCGACCAAAGATGGTTTCCTTCTGGAAGTTTAATGTTGGACAGAGCTCAGGCTTATGAGTGTGGAAGTTCTGCCCTCACTGGTCTCACAGCCCAGCAGGATGTGAGTATAGTTTTTTGCTTTGGGAAAGGGTCTTGCTGTGTGGTTCAGGCTATCACTGAGCTCACTGTGTAGCCCAGGCTGGTCTTGAACTTGTGGCGATCCTCCTGCCTCAGCCTCCCAAGTGCAGGGATCACAGACACGCACCACCGCGCCTGGTGAAGCAGCATACCTAACCACTCCCTAGCTCCTGGACACAGTGCCGAGCAGAGAAATGGCTGGGGAGAGCATCTCAGAGCATGGATTTTATGTACTTCTCAAAGGGTTTTCCTGCGCCAGAGTCCGAGAGGCAGAATTTCGAGTCCAGAGAATATGAGTTCAAGGCCTTGTCATGAACTGCTTTCCACTGGCGTAGTGAATCCCATGCCTACCCGAGGCACACAGGAGCCGTGAGACCCGCTGAGACCGCTCTTCAGTGACTGAGGATGTTTTTGGAGATGAGCTGTGGTCGCAGTCATTGCTCATGGCTTTGGTGGCTCCGGGTGACTTTGATTCTCCAAATGGCACCCAGAGAAAGGAGCTATCAGAGCCCGCAGCCCTGCGGCCAAGTCCTGAATGAGAACCTCAGAAACATACCCTATGCCTTTGCTGGGTGGCGCAGACCTTTGGCGTTCAGAACCAAACTCAGGATCGGCTCATGGACCCTGCTGAGCCCTGTGCTCACACACATGGGGCCCACACAGGGTGCAGCTGGCACGGGGACCCCAGCCAAGTGACAGCCCCGTGCATGTCCACCAGGGCAGAGCCAGGGGAAGCCAGGACCGGCAGCTTCCGTGCTGGTGGAGGCCGGTATGTGGCACTTGGCGCTTTGAGGAGGGGCCGCAGTCCGGGGGCCTCACTCTGGAAGGTTGACATCGGGGGATTTCCATCCCAAAGGCCAGAGACCCCACCAGTGCCCTGGGGGAGGTGCCCAGGACACAGCAGGCGGAGGAGAGAGGTTGGCAGCCAGCAGAGTTCCTGTAGGAGGCTGGAGCGAACGAGACTGTTTCTGTCTTTCATGCTTAGAGCTTTTAATGAAATCTTGGAATACCCAGAGCCGATAGTTGTCCCAGGTGACGCCAGTTCTCCCAGCCACCGCTGCAGTAGCCCTGGCTCTGCTCTCTGGTGCTCTCAGGCACGCCGAGGTGCTGAATGCTGAAGGCAGGGTGCTGTCACTCAGTCCCGAGGGTGGAGCCTGAGGCCTGGCAGCCTGTGCCTCAGACCCCTGACACATGCATTGGTGCAAAGAAGGGAAAAAATACCTGAACGCGGAGCCACTGACCCTGGCTTCCGCTCTGCGGTGTGGAATTAAAGGACGTTTTTTAATTGATTTTTGTTGTTGTCCTGGGGATGGAACTCAGGACCTTGCGATTGTGAGGCAGGCAGCAGCGACTTTTTTTTAAAGGAGTGGCAAAGCTTATTTTAGAAAGCAAAAGTGAAGCTCGACAGAGAAACTGACTTTGCTGAAGAAGCTTGGGCTGAGTGCATAGGAGAGGCTGAGGGCAGAGACAAAAGCACACACTGTAGCCGCTCTTCGCCCCAGGCCTTGACCTCTCCTGGCTCACACTGTGATCGCAAAGGGTGGGTCCCGCGGGGTCTGACTTCTAAAACGCTGCCATTCTCAGAGCGGGAACCTCGTCTCTCCACCCCAGACCGGCTCTCCCTTTTCACTCTTTTGGGCCGTAACCCGCCCGGTCCAGAGCAGGCAGCTGTCAGTCAGGGTTGTGCAGGGTGGGCCCTGTGTGATCCCAGGATGATTCATCACCCCCGACAGAAGCCCCACCCACAGGCTGTAGTAGCTGCTTTCTGTCCCTCTCTCCCTTATCCCCGCAACCTCCGATCTGTTTTCGGTTTCTGCGGATCTACCTGTTCTAGCATTTTATACATGTGGAATCATGCAGTGTGTGATCTTCTGAGCCTGGCTTCTTTTGCTCAAGGTTTGTCCAGGTTGTAGCCTGGTCACAACTTCATTCTTTTTTATGGCTATATAGTACTCCAGCCATGCAAATGTGGCACATCTCCTCTATCTATGCAGGAACTGGTGAACATTTCTACTTTGGGCTGTCATGAACACTGGTGCTATGAATATTCCTGTGTAGCTTTTGCATGGGTGTAGGTTTTCATCTCAAGTATGGACCTCAGACAGGAATGGCTATGTAACTCCATACAACTCTGTGGCAACTCTGTGACTTTAATTCCACCAGAATCCATCTTGTACCCAACGGTGCCCGAGGCAAGACCAACATCTCAGACTGTGGGCAGCGTCTCAGTTGTGGCTTGGGGACAAAGTGTGGGACTTGCCATTCAGATAGGAGTCTATTTTATTTTATTATACATATACGTATA